ATGAGGGGATCTCTATAGGTTAATGTAGAAGGATGTAATATACAAAGTGAAAAAAGTTAAGTTGAAAAAACCTATAGAGGATGATCCTATTTTTCTTTTTTTACATCAGCACACAGAACTGTTCATTATGATCACCTGTGACAAGTGGGACCTGGGCATGAGGAAGTGGGATAAACTTTTAAAAATACGTCACTCCTGCTTCACAAAGCTCATGTGCCACAGGCCCTGCTCATAAAGATTCCACCCCTGCCAGCTCTGCTGAGTCAGAGGTGGAGTCCTCAGAGGGGTTGAGTAGTGAGAGGGCTGGGCAGGGGCAGTGGAGGAGCCTGAGGTCCGTTCACATGCGGAGACCCCAGGGATCCTGAGGCTCGAGCTGCTGTAAGCCACACTCGGGGCCCAGTCCCCAGTAATCAGCCTCCTTTGGCCGTCCTCAGACCACACGTTGCCAAGCGCTCACGACAGGCTCATGGAACAGCTGGCCCTCCTGTGCACCACGCAGTCTGGGGCCTCTGCTTGTGCCCAGAAGATGCCTGCCAACACCCCCCAGGACACCGAAGCGGCAAAGGCCCGAAACAGGTGGGACTTGTAGCCAGGCACGGCTCCTGTGGTCCTTTAGAAGAGCCCCATGATTTGGCAGCACTGACTGGGCCTACTACGGGTGGGGTGCTCGATGTGCTTTTTCTCAGTCACCCTCAAACATCTGATCAGGTAGTCGCTCCCCACAGGGAGAAAGGCAAGCTACAGTGAAGCTGGGAGAGGCAGAGGTGGACGCAGAGCCCCAGGGTCCTGCAAGGCCCTGCGATATGCCTGCTCTCCCCACAGTTTGGTTGTAGCACACTTTAGGAATCTGAGAGCCAGTGAATCCCTTTTCACCTGAGCAGCAGTGGATTTCTGTGCCTGGAAACTAAAAGTACCTAACAGAGATGGCTAGGCATGGTGGCTCACACCTATAATCCCAGCACTTTGGGAGACCAAGGTGAATGGATTGCCTGAGGTCAGGAGGTCGAGACCAGCCTGGCCAACATGCCGAAATCCCATCTCTACTAAAAATACATAAAAATAATCTGGGCTTGGTGGTGCATGCCTGTAATCCCAGTTGCTCAGGAGGGTAAGGCGAGAGAATTGCTAGAACCCAGGAGGCGGAGGTTGCAGTGACCAAGGTCTCACCACTGCAGTCCAGCCTGGGCAACAGAGCAAGACTCCCCCTCAAAAAAAAAAAGTAAAAAGAAATGGCGAGACCTGCACTGTTAACCATGACAGCCATTGGCCATGTGTGGCTGTTAAACACCTAACATGGTGAGTGTGACTGAGGAACTAAATTTTTTATTCATTTGATTATAATTGGCTTAAATGTAAACTTAGCCATTTGTGGCAAATGGCTGTACTTACCACAGATAAAGAGCATCTCCATCATCAGGGAAGTTCTGTTGGCCAGTGCTGGCCTAAATCTTGAGGGCTGTTCTGAAGAGTAAAAGAGCAAATATGTTTGATGTGCCCATTGGCAGAGTGGGCACTCACTGGGTGGCAGCCATGAGCACTGTGACTGGACAAACAGAGTCATCACAGACAAATGACTCTACAGTGCCTGTTTCTCTCATCTCAGATGTGCTTCCAGGAAGCCAGGCTCCCAGGCCGTGCCAGGCCCACAGCTGGCCGAGCCCATGAGGCTTAACACGGAGCCCCCCACCATTTTCATTGACCTGCGGCAGACGGAGTCACCAGGCCACCTGTTCCCAGAAAGGTCTGGAGGGCAGTGACTACCCCATGGCAGCCTCAACTTTGCAAAGTTGCCTGTTGACCTCACAAAGCTGGTGGATCCCACTGGGAAGGACCAGGGATTTCAAAATGCTTTGGATCGTTGCTCAATTGAGAAGTGCTTTTAGCATGGGTGAACTGGGCCTGGCGTAGAGTCCCCCTGGGTCCCTGGAGGGAGGGAGGGAAGAGGGGCACGGGGCACACCCCCTCAAGCTGGGCTTGAGCCCAACACATTAAGCTGGAGGGCATCGCCCACACCTGCCCTCACCTCCTGGCAGGACATCCGCCAGCCTCCAGTGTGTCCATTGCCCTCTTGTATTGGGTCACCAGGGAAGCCCGAGTGCCTCAAGCCCCAACAGGAGTTGGAATGTTGGGTGGAGTGAGCACATCCAGAAACCCATTTCTCTCCCCCACAGCTCCTCTGACAGCGAGGAGGAGGAGGAAGAGGAGATGGCAGCTATGGGAGACACAGAGGGGGCATCTGCTTCCTCCCTGGGGCTACGGTAACCACCAAGGGGCCTCCCGCCACCTGCAGATATCCGCTCTGCTTCCTGCAGGAAGCCCTCCACCTGGCACATTTACCGCCTGTGGTGAGGTCCTGCTGTACCTACCACATAGGGCAGGGGGGCGGCACAGCTTCCATCATCTCACCCATGTCCACTGGGTCCCAGCAGTGGCAGCGGTGACTGGCCACCTGAATGGCATTCTTACTTTGAAATGGGAACTGGGCCCACCTGCTTTTGTCCTGTTTCAGTGTTGAGTGCTGGGAGGTGTGGCCCCCACAGGGCTGAGTTTGGTCTCGTGTCACAGGAGCTGTACCGGGAAGAGCCAGCTTCTCCAGCAGCTCAGGACCTTTCGGAACAGGACAGCCCAGCTTGAGCTGCCTGCCAGCAAGGGGCCTGGTGGTGGTGGGGCTCAGGTCCCTGAAGATGCTGCTGGATCAGGAACTTGGAGGAAGCAACACATGAAGCTCTGTGCTGAGAGGCAGAACACCCAGGGCCAACTCCCAGGAGGCAGACCCAGAGCCCTAGGGGACACTCTAGAGCCAGAGGCAGCCAGGGAGGCCCTGGTACCTCCTCTGGACCAACTGTAGACACCCAGGTAGTGGGATCCCAGGAGTGGGCAGGGGCGGGCTGACTTGCCATGGACCCTGGGCCCTGCTGTCCCTTTGCTCTCCCTGCGTTTCCACTAGCAGGGGGCTTCCAGAGGCAGGGACCCTCAGACCCTGTTAGAGCTCAGCCACAGATGTATGCCTTTAAAGCAAGGATGCAGACACAAATCTGTACCTAACACACGACAACAGCTTGGGATAATGGGGTCTGGTCCTCTAAGAGATGGGCAGGGACAGCACGACGGGTGAAATGCCATGCCTGGCTCTTAATGAACTTTTTGAAAGGGGGTAACAATGAGAATTGGCTTTCTCTTTCTCTTCTTTACCTAAGATAGGCACACATAGACTCTCAAGGCCTTTGACCTTTATGAATCTAGACAGAATACAGGAAACCCCTGGAAACGCTGTCCTGTGTAGCGTGGAGCAGAGGCCTCAGTTGCTGATCACCACCAAGAGCTGGGGACAGCTGCTTGCCCCTTGCCGAGACCCACTCCAATGACAGGACATGCCTGGTCTTCCTGGGTCCTGTTTCTTTGCCAGCACCATCCTGCAGCCCCATCTTCACAGGAAGCTTTTGTAACTGCTGTGATCAGCCCTGACCTGGGCACCTGCTCTCTCCCCCACCTTGTCTCCAGGATGTGTCCTGCTGCCTGCTCTGTGGGAAGAACAGAGAAATCACCACCTCGGGCCCCACTGCACCTCAGGCTCAGGCAGCATAGCAGGGCGCCTGGCTTTTGGTCAAGTCTCCCAGCTTCCCCTGTGGCTCACCCCCCTCTGCCATGCCACCAAGGATGGGCAAGGGTCTCTTTGCATCAAGCCTTATACCAGGCAAAAGACAGGCCCTGTCTGGCCATGGCCACAGGCTGCCAAGACTGGGGCCACAGACCTCTGCTCTCCAGACCCCATGTGATCTAGCAACGGACCCCACACCTGACCTCACTCCCAATGATGAGTGTTTTCATTACAAGCCAAAGGCAAGACAGGATACCACAAACTCCCAGGAGGCCCCTCCTGCAGGGCACAAGGCCAGGCTGCCTGCCTCCCAGCTCCCATGCCCTCTCCCACCTGCAGAGACCCTACAGGCAGCCAGAACCGGGCTACAACCCCGTACTCTGCCCTCACAGTCTGGCAGCCTCTGCTGTGGCTGCCTAGCTGTAAAAAGCAAAAGCTGTTCTTATTCTTTAACCCCATTTTCTTCCATCACCCCCCGCCCCTTTAATGCCAGTAAGTTCACTGAGAATGTTCCACAGTGATGGAGAATAAATTGTTCCAAGTTCAACTCTGTGAATTAGTGTCTGTCAAGGCAAAGGGAAAGGGGTGGGAAGTCAGACCTGGATCCTAAGTTGGCTCCACCACCCAGGCAAGGTTTTCACACTCCCAGTGCCCCAGTTCCTCCACCCAGAGAATCATGGCCAGGCGCGGTGGCTCACGCCTGTAATCCCAGCACTTTGGGAGGCTGAGGCAGGCAGATACGACGTCAAGAGATCAAGACCATCCTGGCCAACATGATGAAACCCCGTCTCTACTAAAAATATAAAAATTAGCTGGGTGTGGTGGCAGGCGCCTGTAGTCCCAAGTTCTCAGGAGGCTGAGGCAGGAAAATTGCTTCAACCCGGGAGGCGGAGGTTGCAGTGAGCCTAGATCGGACCACTGCACTCCAGCCTGGCAACAGAGAAAAAATCCATCTCAAAATAATAATAATAATAATGGGAGCCCCCCCACTGGAATGCATGAGAGAACATCACAACATGCATGCACTTGGGACTCACAGCTCCTGTGACACTCCATCACGTGAGCACTGAGGATGACACCCAGATGGGAAGGGACCCTCTGAGCCAGCGAGAGGCCCTGGCCATAGCAGAACAAAGGAAGTGGGCAGACCCCAATCACACTTTCCCCCAGGCTGCCACCTCCAGCACAGGCCTTCATGTGAGAGGCCTGGGGGCTCAGGCTGCAACGGGCAGATGGGTGTCAGCAATACCAGGTGCTTTGCTAGCTGGTGGGAAGGTGACCTGGCCACATCTAGCTGGGTACCTTATGCCCCACGAGAGCTCCCAGAGCTGATCTAGAAGGTAGGAGCCGTTCCTCAACCAGGCAGCCTCACTCTGCAGACAAAGGACAGAGTACACAGGGGCCAGAGGCACTGACTACTTATGTTAGTTAAGGGAACGAGGAAAGGGCAGGTCACGCAGCTGGAACATGGGCTGTGCCACAAGATCAAACTGTGCACGTATATACGGTGACCGTGTGACAAATGGAATGGAGCATCCCAGGCTGGGACAAGGGCCAAGGCTACCTACCCATGAGGAACCACCACTGCCCAGCTGGAACATTCCAGAACCCAGTGGTGTCCACAGCCGTCCTATGACTTCTGAGACAACTACACACACCGAGGACTCTATTACACCACTCACCTCAGCCACTCACACGCTGAGATGATGTGTACAGACCAGACGCTCCCACACAGCACAGGCCAGACAGAAGCTGGAAGGTGAAGGCTTCTTACCTTAGAAAGACAAAGGGGGGTGACCATGGAAGGCCATGTCCCAGACACTAAGGAGCCAGAAGCAAAGGTGGCCCTGAACCTCGTCCCTGGGGAGGCGTCAGGCCTGTCGCATCCCTGGTGACAGGTCAGGAAGATGGAACTCAGGGTTGTGTTCCCGCCCCAGGTGTCTGCCAGCCTGCAGGGCAGATATGGATCTGCAAAAGGGACTGGAATGCTGGCCAGCCCCAGGCATTTGGAAACCCTAGCAGGATGGAGGAGAAGCTGGAGGACAGGTCCTGGGAAGGCTGGGGTACATCAGGGATCCTTACGGCAGGCCAGAGAGGGGCCCCTCAAATTCATGTCTACCCAGAGCTCAGAATGTGACCTTGTTTGCAAACACCAGTTTTGATGATATAATTAGTTAAGATGAGGTTACAGTGAATTGGGGGAACCTAAACCAAGTGAGTGGTGGCCCTACCAAAAAGAGGCTGGGCATGGCGGCACACATCTGTAATCCAGCTACTGAGGAGGCCAAGGCAGGAGGATCACTTGAGCCCAGGGGTTCGAGGCTGCAGTAAGCTATGATCATGGCACTTCACTCCCAGCTGGGTGACACAGCAAGGCTGTCTTTAAAAAAAAAAAAAAGGCAGGGGAGGACACACAAAGATGGCGCACAGGGTCACAGACACACAGGGGACAGGAACGGACGCAGCGATGAGGGTACACGCCAGCAGCTACCGGATGCTGGAAGAGGCTGATGGACCTCCCAGGCCCTCCAGGAGCCAGCCCCACTAACACCTTGGGTACGGGCTTCTGGCTTCCTGAGTGTGTCACCGTGTCTGAAGTCCTCGCTCTGTCTCGTCTGTTCTGGCCGCCACTGGACACTCACACAGCCTGTCCTTGCCCTTGCTCTGTACCCAGTGCCCAGCTTCCTCCTTGGTCTGAGCATCCCAAATGTCTCCTGCTGACCTCATACTGGGCCATGGGAGGCAACAGGCGATGCTTTCGGACCAGGGTCTCTGGCAGCTTCCTGAATTCTGTGCCCAGGAACGAGAGTCCTGGAAAGGCAGTTTCAGATATGGTGATCAGGCCTTGGCCCCGGGGCCTCCAGGAGCCACTGGCGGGAGCGTCAGCAGGGAGCCTGCCCCCATGTGGGTCCGCTGGTGCTTGTGCAGGTCGGTGCCCCGGCGGAAGCCCTTGCCACAGGCTGGGCAGGTATAGGGCTTCTCACCTGTGTGCGTCCGGCGGTGGGCGCTGAAGTGGGAGCTGTTGTTGAAGCGCTTCCCGCACTGGGTACAGGCGTAGGGCCGCTCCCCGCTGTGCGTCCTGCGGTGGATGACCAGGCTGGAGCTCTGGCTGAAGCGCTTCCCACACTCGGGGCACGGGTAGGGCTTCTCACCCGTGTGCACCCTCTGGTGTGTGCTGAAGTTGGAGCGGTCGCTGAAGCCCTTCCCGCACACCAGGCACTTGTAAGGCCGCTCACCCGTGTGTGTGCGCTGGTGCTTGGTCAGGTGGGACGTTTTGCTGAAGGCTTTGCCACACTCGGGGCAGGTGTACGGCTTGTCCGCCCCATGGGAAGCCCCTCTTCCTGATGGGGGGCCACCTCTTGGTTGCTCAGGCCTGGCCAAGCCCCTGACTGGGGCTGGCCTCTGACTTGGGAGCGGGTGGCCAGGGCCCTGGCATCGCGCCGAGAACACTCGGTACCACTCCATCCTCACCGGGGCGTCCTCTCTGCCATCACCACCATCCACCAACTGTATCACAGGTCCTGAGACAGAGAAAGCATAGTCTCTAGGAATTCATGGCAAGAGGGCAAGGGAAATGATTTGTTTTTCTTGAGATTCAGTCTTGCTCTTGTCTGCCAGGCTGGAGCGCAATGGCATGATCTGGGCTCACTACAACCTCTACCTCCCAGGTTTAAGTAATTCTCCTACCTCAGCCTCCCCAGTAGCTGGGATTATAGGTGCCTGTCACCATGCCGAGCTAACTTTTGTATTTTTAGTAGAGATGGGGTTTCACCATGTTGGCCAGGCTGGTCTCAAACTCCTAACCTCAGATGATCTGCCCACCTTGGCCCTGCAAAGTGCTGGGATTACGGGAGTAAGCCACCGTGCCCAGCTGAGAAATGCTCCTAATAGAAAGGAAGATGAAGGCTTTATGGGGCTCCTAAAGTTCCCGTACAAAACGTCTAGAGGGACCCAGCATGGTGGCTCATGCCTGTAATCCCAGCACTTTGGGAGGCTGAGGCAAGAGGATTGTTTGAGCCCAAGAGTTCAAGACCAGCATGGGCAAGACAGGGAGATCTTGTCTTGACAGAAAATAAACAAAACTAGCTGGGCATGGTGGCGTGTGCCTGTAGTCCTAGCTACTCAAGAGGCTGAGGTGGGAGGGTCACTTGCATCCAGGAGGTCAAGGCCGCAGTGAGCCGTGATCATGCCACGACACTCCAGCCTGGGTGACAGAGTGATACCCTGTTTCAAAAACTAAATCAATAAAACAAACACACAGGAACTTATTTAACCATCACAATAAGCAGTGGGTCAGTGCTGTTACTATCTGCATCTTGCAGATGGGGAAACCGAGGCACAAAAGTGTTAAGGAACTTACCCAGAATCACTGGGCTGGTAAGTTACAGAGCAAGGGCCATCAAGCTCTGGACTCTGCTGTATGCTCTAAGTCAGGGGTTCCTACCTGGTGGCAAGGTCTGGAAACATTTTTGTCAAGTCTGGGGAGGGGGTTGTAAGTAGTCTCTAATGGGCAGGGGCCTGGGCAGCTGGAAAAGCTCCTGCCAGCACAGGCAGACCCATGTGAAGAGCCATCCGGCCCAAACGCCAAAAGCGCCAACGTTGAGAAGCCCTGCTCTGGGCTGCTCTGGCTGAGCAGGGCAGTCATGGGTCCCAGCCATTGGCCCTCTGTTGTCATATACTTGGTGCAGCCCCTGAGGCCCCTCTGTAGATCCAAGTTCTAGAGCCGACACCGTCAGGACAGGAGAACAGGGAGAGGGGCCTGCAGTGATCCAGGCTTTGCCACTTCCAGGAAAAAGCCCTTGACTTCTCTGTTCCTCGTCTGCAGCATGAGGGTGACAGGGTACCTGGTGGCACAAAGCACACCATGATGCTTGGTGGTGTGGGGGAGCAGCTGTCTTCACACCAGTCCGGAGAGAAGCTCTGTGCGTGGCAGCCACACACTGACCCCACAGGGGAGGGACAGAACCACCCACTGCCCTTGGAAATGTCCACTTTAAGACACTTCCACACCCAGAGCTCCTGGGCGAATCCTCCTTGCCCTCCCCTCCCATCTCCAGGCCCAACTTCTGGAAAGCCAAAGGTGGGTTTGGCGCTTACTGAGCCTCAAATTCTACATCTATAAAAGAGGAAGCTGGGCGTGGTGGCTCACGCCTGTAATCCCAGCTACTTGGGAGGCTCAAGCAGGAGAATCGCTTGAACCGGGGAGACAGAAGTTGCAGTGAGTCGAGGTCATGCCACTGCACTCCAGCCTGGGTGACAGAGTGAGACTCCATCTCAAAAAAAAAAAGTTTTTGAGCCTGGGTAACATAGTGAGACTCTATGTCTACCAAAAAAATTTTCCAAATTAGCCGGGCGTGGTGGCATAGGCCTATAGTCCCAGCTACTTGGGAGGCTGAGGTGGGAGAATCACCTGAGCCTGGGAGGTTGAAGCTGCAGTGAGTCAAGACTGTGCCACTGCACTCCAACCTGGGTGACAGAGTGAGACCCTGTTTCAAATAAAAAGTTTTAGAACCAGATAAAGGTGACAATTGTCCAACATTGTGAATATACTAAACACCACTGAACTGAAAAATTGATAATTTTATGTTATGTGAATTTCATCTCATGAAAAAATGTAAAAACTTTGAGACCACATACCAACCTAATTTGTTAATTTTGTTTTTTTTCAGACAGAGTCTCACCTGGTTGCCCAGGCTGGAGTGCAGTGGTACAATCACAGCTCACTGCAGCCTTAACCCAGGCTCAAGTGATCCTCCCACATCAGCCTGTCAAGTACATGTGACTACAGGTGTGCGTCATAATGCCCAGCAAATTTTTGCGTTTTTTGTGGAGACAAGGTTTCTCCATGTTACCCAGACTGGTCTTAAATTCCTGGACTTAAGCAATCCACCCGCCTTGACCTCTCAAGGTGCTAGGATTACAGGTATGAGCCAGCGCATCTGGCCTATTTTTGTTTTTTCTTTTTGAGACTGAGTTTCACTCCTGTCACCCAGGCTGGAGTGCCATGGTGTGATCTCAGCTCACTGTGACCGCAACCTCCTGGGTTCAAGCCATTCTCCTTCCTCCACCTCCGTAGTAGCTGGGATTACAGGTGCTCACCACCACACCTGGCTATTTTTTTGTATTTTTAACAGAGGCAGAGTTTTTCCATGTTGGCCAAGCTGGTGTCGAACTTCTGACCTCAGGTGATCACCCGCCTTGGGCTCCCAAAGTGCTGGAATTACAGGTGTGAGCCATCGGATCTGGATTTTTTTTTTATTTTTTATTTTTTTAATTTATTTTATTTTATTTTATTTTATTTTTTTGACGGAGTTTCGCTCTCCTTACCCAGGCTGGAGTGCAATGGCACGATCTCGGCTCACCGCAACCTCCGCCTCCTGGGTTCAGGCAATTCTCCTGCCTCAGCCTCCTGAGTAGCTGGGATTACAGGCACCTGTCAGCACACCAGCTAATGTTTTGTATTTTTAGTAGAGACGGGGTTTCACCGTGTTGACCAGGATGGTCTAGATCTCTTGACCTCGTAATCCACCCGCCTCGGCCTCCCAAAGTGCTGGGATTACAGGCTTGAGCCACCGCACCCGGCCTTTTTTTTTTTTTTAAAGCAAGATCAAATAAATTCAACTTTTATTGGCCCCAGCGGCCTTTTTTACCATGGGCTCTGGCACAGGGTAAGTAAAATCCAACCTTATGACTGTGACCCCGGGAGGGAAGCTGTGTCTGGGCTCCGGGAACTGGTGACAGAGCTGGACAGAACTTCATTCCTTCCCTTCTGAGGATTCCATGTGGTCACTTGGGAGTTGGGAGGGCTGGCAAATTCTTTCCCTTTTGCCACCTGCCTTTGGTACGGGGAATGAAGTGGCCCACAGGTGAGACACTCTCAGAAACCTTCAGATCAGGGTTCCTCAATCATGGTAACTCAATCATTGTAAAGGTGACATTCATGGGGCCTGGAGCAGGCTGAGTCGCTGATGGGGCCAGCCTATGCACTGCAGGAGGGTGGCTGGCATCCCTGTCCTCTGCTCATCAAATATAGCTGACAAATATCCTAACAGCCAAAAATGTCTCCACTCATGGACAGACGTCCCCTAGAGAGCAAGACTGCTGGTCTGGATGCATATCACCAAAGCTGCTGATGACCAACCAGAGTCTCATACAACATCGTCTAAATCTACCTGCTCACAGGCAACACAAGAAAAAAATGATACAATGGCCACTAGAACCAAAAACCTTTGTTCGTCAAAGAACACTACCAACAAAGTGAAAATGCACAAAATGGGAGAAAGCATTTGCAAATCTGGCTGGGCACAGTAGCTCACGCCTGTAATCCCAGCAATTTGAGAGGCTGGGGTAAGATCACCTAAGGTGAGGAATTTGAGACCAGCCTGGCCAACATGGCAAAACCCACCTCTTCTAAAACTACAACAATTAGCTAGATGTGGTGGCGCATGCCTGTAATCCCAGTTACTCAGGAGGCTCAGACAGAATCGCCTGAACCCAGGAGGTGGAGGCTGCAGTGAGTCAAGCTCACATCACTGTAGTGCAGCCTGGTGACAGAGCAAGACTCCGTCTCAAAACAAAAAAATAAACAAACAAAAAAACCCAGAAAATAACAAGCACTGGTGAGGATGTGGAGAAAGTAGAACCTCTGTGCACTCTTGGTGGGTACGTGAGATGGTACAGACGCTGTGGAAAACAGCATGATCGTTCTTCAGAAAGTTACACACAGAATGACCACGTGTGCACCAGCCGTCTGACTGCTGGAAACATCTACCCCAAGAACTGAAAGCAGGGTTTATCACAGATGCATCTGCACACCCACTTTCACTGCAGCATTATTCATAAGGGAATGTTATTCAGCCATAAAAAGGAAGAAAATCCTGGAGGTTTCCCAAAGAAGGAACTCTGCCTCAAGACCACTGCACAGAAATCCTAAGCTTCCAGCCTGCTGGCCTGGCCTACAGATTTCAGACTTGTCAACTTCTGTAAGCAGCCAAGGGAGCTGTTTGAGTGTCCATGCCATAAAAATGCCATAAAATAAATCTGTGTGTGTGTGTGTGTGTGTGTGTGTGTGTGTGTGTGTTTGTTGGCTCTGTTTCTCTGGAGAAGAACTCTAATACAAAGCAACCTCTCACTGTCGACAGAAAAGACTTCAGCATGGCCAGGCGTGGTGGCTCACATCTGTAATCCCAGCACTCTGGGAAGCTGAGGTGGGCAGATCACCTGAGGTCAGGAGTTCGACACCAGTCTGGCCAACATGGTGAAACCCCATCTCTACTAAATATACAAAAATTAGCCAGACATGATGACGGGTGCCTATAATCCTAGCTACTTGGGAGGCTGAGGCAGGAGAATCGCTTGAACCCAGGAGGCGGAGGTTGCAGTGAGGCAAGATCACACCACTGTACTCCAGCCTGGATGACAGAGCAAGATTCCATCTCAAAAAAAACCAAAAAACAAAAACCAGAAAAGGCTCCAGCAGCATCAGGAGAGGCAGAAAGACACAAACAGGCAGAGAAAGAACTGAGAGGACAGTGCTGGGTACGGGCCAGGGTGGTGCTCAGTGCGATGGGGAGAGGCTGAAGAGTCAGGCCCTGTGGGAGCAGCTGTGCCCTTGAGAGGAGGGCATGGGGCAGCAGAAGTGAAGCAGGACCAATGTGTAGGGGGGCGGGGATGGAAGAACAGAATCGCAAGGCAGCTCTGGGCACCTGCCTGGGTCATGGCCAAGTGGCTGTACAGTCCCTGCAGCTGGGACCCTGAAGGGATTCGGGCAGCCCTGGGCACACAGGACTGCCCCAGGCCAACTGGACCAATGTAACCAAGCCCATGAGCTGGCACCTGACAGTTCCTATTTTTAGCAAGCCCCCTAGAGGACAGAGTCCCTCGCAATTACCTTCATTCTCCAGCAGCGCATCTTGCTGAGCTGGGTCCAGGCATCCTGGCTCCTCCCCAGAAAGGTATACAGCCACATCCTCCAAGTTCACAGGCGCCTGCTGGAATGCACCCTGCTCAGTCCAGGCCCCAAGCAATCTGCCTGCTCCTTGTGGGCCACTGGTCTAGCGAGCTGCACCCCCACTGCCCCTCGAGGCTGGGGCCGAGCGTGGTGGTGCAGCTGGTCCTCTCCACTCTTGTCACAGTGGTGAGTCCTGGTGCCTCTGCCTACTGCTCCCCTGTGCCACTGCTGCAGAGTTGGGACACCACTGGGGAAGGGACAGATTCGCCACGAGGAGCGGTGGACTCACCACAGTCTCCCATGCACCACAGGAAGATGAGAGCATCCCCTGGCTCTGTGGCCAGCCAGGCCTGGGGCCCTGATGTGGCGGACAGGGGACTTCAGGACACCTCTGGGCCAGTGGCTCCCAGATGTAGCACCAGACTGACCCGGAAGCATGATTAAAAAAGGAGTGGAGCCGGGCGCGGTGGCTCACGCCTGTAATCCCAGCACTTTGGGAGGCCGAGGCGGGTGGATCACGAGGTCAAGAGATCGAGACCATCCTGGTCAACATGGTGAAACCCCGTCTCTACTAAA